AGCTGGTGCGTTCCAGCCTGGGTTGCATCTGCATATAAGCAAAAACGCATAACGAGTGCGGGGGAGATGCTAGTCACAGCGTATGGAATTTGTGCAAGAACTTTGATGTTGGGTTTTGATTGATGGAGCGGCATCATTTACTTGCTTTGGCTATTAATTAACTAATTTTGATACTGCAATGTTATCAGACAGCTCATATTGCGTGGAGCTGACACGGCGTGGCTGGCGGATCGCGTCGGATCAGCATGACTGCATGAACGGTGATTACCGACAGCTCGACTTGTATACACATTATTTCGAGACCATTTATCAGTTGTTGAATGTGGTATCGCCAGAATTCCGTAAGCAATTCGCTGGGAAGCTCAGCAGCAAGCTCAGTGCATTAACCAATGGAGTACCGGGTCGCAGCACGTGAAGCGAAGCAGTGCGGCACGCTTCAATCTCTCATCTTTTTTACGCGGTGCTTTAGCTTATTAGTTGTGGCATATATTATAGTCCTGTTGATTTTACCTCCAATCATGCTTAAAATATCTGTACTAAACAGTGCAAGAAGTGCTGAATTTGTCTGCGTGGGGAAGGAAAATGGGAAACCGAGCCAAGTGGCGCAGAAGCTGAACCCGAAAGGTGCAGAATTCGGCTAAAACAGTATAAAAATCTGCTGGAAAATGCATAATTGCATTAATGTGCGGATGGATCTAATGGTACCAAACTTTTTTACGAAACTGCTGCATAAAAATGAAAAGGAGCAACAAAACTGGACCGCACATCTTTTGTTGAAAACAAGACACACTGTTGATATTATTTGATCTGTTCTTGTGGTTTGACTGAATGCAGGTTCACTAGCGGTTTAGACATCGGCTGTTTTAATTTTTTTTTTTTTATGACTCATATTTTTTTTTTCTTTGGCAAACACGGCAATGTTTGCTATGTGAATGAACGCGGGTCTAATCGAAAAAGCCTGGCTGCCGCACTGTCTAGTCACAGCGCTTGGAAATGCTTATCTGTTTTCTGAACAGTGTCGAGGTGTATTTTTTGAAAATGAGAGAAAAACCAAATCGCGGATGTCAGAAAGTCACAAATTTCACTCAAAAGAACAAAAGTGGAAGATACGCA